TACTATATTACTGGAGGACCTGCTCAGCATAAAGAAGTGAAGCCGAAAACATGGAGGATCTTACGCCATTTCCATGACAACACTTCCGAAATTTTCATGGTAACTGCCACTGACCAACCGCGATCCTAAGCTTCCGACAATGTCCTTAACCCCCCTGGTTTTTGGGCAAATATTACGATACAGTAGATATAAAGTATTCTGTTGTTTTTGAGCTAAAAAATCTTAATATTTCCCTCGAACATTACTGGTTTTACAACGCGGAGCGAGGGTGCGGGTTTGCTTCGCTTATGGATGAAGCATTTCACTACAGAGAAAGACTAATTCTTTCAGGTAAGATTCACGAAACTTCTTTATAACTTTCTAGACGGCTAGAGTCACTCAGTCACTAGACTCTTCATATATGTCAAAAACTCATCATCCTAAAATATACAGCAAATATTTCAATAGGGGACATAAAAGCAGGGTGTTACCCAGAAAAAAAAGTTTTGTCCGTTAAACGTAAATTGGGAAAGATTTTTTGACCGATCAAAGTCCTTGTGTAGGAATAAATAGTGTTTCTTTTCCAACTGTTTCTCCTTAGATGCAAACAACGGTAGATTGTTTTTGTACATTTCATTTCCGGTGAATGAACACTGAAAAATGCACCCGATGGCACTTCGTTTTGTATATTTCATTTCCGGTGAATGAGCACGGATGCACATAGATTACACTTTGTTTTGTACTATTATTATTATTATTATTATTTAATCTTATTTACACACATATGCAACGGTAGCCCTTCAGCAAGTTTATCTACAGTTCCTTGTAGCTGATTTTCAAGGGGCCGTTGATTAATAATAAGGGAAGAAATTAAGAAAATAATGAAAATATACGAATATATATATATATATATATATATATATATATATATATATATATATATATATATATATATATATATATATATATATATATATTTATATAAATATAGCACACGAATTATCCCCCCCCCCTTTCTTCACTCAGTCCTCCCACCCCTAAACATTAAAAACTTTAACAATCTACGTTTGTCTGTCTCGGAGCAGCGCTTTAAATCTTGTTAATGTTATACCATTATCTTTAAATTCTGTTGGCAGTTCATTCCAAATCTTTACTCCTGCGTAGCAGATACTTTTTTTAAGAAAATTAGTTTTAGGCTTTTTTATCGAAAAGTCACAATCGTTATTGCGTAAATTATAATTTTCATTATTTTTCACATTAAAGGTATCAGTAATTGTTGTCAGGTATTTGCCATTTTTGGCTTTGTACATAAAAACTGCCTTATTCTCTCTCCAATTTTCTATCAGTGGCTGCCAGCCTAAGTCCTGTAAAATAGTCTCGGACCTAACTTCGTACGACCTACCAGTAATGACTCTTGCAGCCCTGTTTTGCATTTTCTGCAGCTTTTCAAGCGAGTAAACATTACCAATGTCCCAAACAAGGCTACAGTAGTCAAAGTGAGGTTGTACTATTGCATTATAAACTGAAATTAATATTGACTGGGGTACAACATTTTTCTGCCCTTTAGCTACTTCAATTCGGAAGAGTCCGTCAAACGGACAGTATATGGGCTAGCTAACACCCTGAAAAGTATTGTTAGCGATTAAACATTGTGTACATGAAATTATGTTGTTTGTGTCAGCACTAGCCTTTGTGGTTTTATTGCCAGACTGCCAGCTTTTAATTTATACTATTACAAATTGTGGTTGTTTACATGTTCATATACAGAGGTTCATATATGGTGTGAAATTTATATACTTGCCCATCACCATTTATATGGTGTGAAATTTATATACTTGCATGCTCATCACAGTGCAGAATTAGTATACATAGATAAGCACAAGACCAGAGAGAGTTGAGTCGTAGAGGAGGTCCACCTACATGTGACAATACATGTGCCCTAGCTGTCCTGATGAGTCTGATGAGTCCTAAAGACTGTCTTTATTATTTTACTCTGTAAATGCCAAACGATTTTAAGGGGATTGAGACTGCTCCCTGCTGCTACACAGTGGGTTATTTACACTACTGCAAATGAGCAGCCCCTGAGATATATAGTCAGCCCATTGAAGCTGCAATGAACCCTAGCTACTTTCTTATTTTACTCAATCTGTGAGATTATAAAATCCAGATGTTTTACTCATTATTAAGGGAAGAGTCTTAAAAATAGATATCATTTTGCCATTGTCTGTTCAGAATTATATAAAACTATATAGTTTTACACAGTATGATGTCATAGTTACATGGCAAGAACAAAAATGTTGCCCACAAGCTGCCGGGATTTAACGGTGGGTCACAGATACACTAATCATGAGGTAAATTCGGAATGCTACAACATTTCTAACAAGGGCGGATTTTCATTTATTTAAAAGGAGGGGTAGAAACATTTCTGGTGGAGTGCAAGCGCCACCACTCAGTGAGCTTTGTTTGGCAGGGGTTTTGCATTTGGGTTAAAGCCTTTTACACAAAATAGGAGGGTTGAAGGAAAAGTTTGGTGGGGTTGAACACTTTATTAGAGGGGTTTAACCCCCCCCCCTAGTAAATCCACCCATGATTTCTGACATTGGGAGTAGTGATGTCCGTGATTGGCCATAACACAGCCTGTGAGAAATTATGATGAAATTTGCTCATCATAGTTAAGTTTGACATATTTTAGCAGTTAGGAATGTAATTGCATTGCTAAATATTGAAGTTTACATGACACTTAATTTTGAAGCTCGGATCAATGGTCTTGGTAAAAACAGATCCTGTAATTGCACTCTTTCCCTTTGACTAGTAAAATTGTCTGGCGTTAGGAGAACGAGATTGCATATGTGTATATGATATTTTTGTGATGTAAAGATGTATAATGTATCATGTCAATAATGCCATCTTTTACTTTGCAAAAAGTCAAATACACCCTTCCGGAATGTATTTCACCTTGGCTATGGAGCCTCATTTGCATGTATGTGACATGAGTTAAAGACCAATGTCTCAATCATGAAAATGAGACTCTATAGCCAAGGTGACATAATTTCTGGAAGCATGTATTAAAATACAGTATGTTCAGTTTCCAAAGATATGTGTGGCTTGGTACTGTAACTTGCCACCCAGAAAGGAGTGTGTCATTGTGGAATAAATCTGCAATAAACAAGAGTAGATTAATTATCTAGGTTGTACAAAAATTCACCAGTAACATAATTAGCATATGATCAAGGTAAACAAAAGAATGTGACCTAACACAGACTCAGCTTAAACCAGGGGTATCAGAACTATAAGTGCACTTATATTTACTGAGAAAACTTGTAAGAAAACATGCCATCCTGGAAATGAGGCCTTGGCACACACCTCAGCTAAACCTTGTTACCTCGGCTTAGGGAAAAGTGTGATTTATCTGAAGCCTCTATATTACTATTATTGACACAAAATAGATAAGTATCGGCCCCAACCATGGAGAAAACTATGTAGAAATACTAGAAACTACCTTCCCAGATCAGTTTCCAGTACCCTTAATAGCTATTAAAGTGGTACATATTACAAAACCTAATTCCCTTTTCAGTATGAAAGATAGCATATCATAGTTAACAGTATGTCTGTTTATAAAACGAGACCTTAGGAGTCAACCTTTTAAGGCTTTTAAACAATTTTTAGACTGCAGGACAGTTCCTTGTATATGTGATTGTGTCGAATCACAGCTTGCTAAAATAGTGGGAAATTTTACACTTTACCATATGTATTGCATAGGAAGTTGTTTTATTAACAAATAGAGTGTCAGTTTCATCGTTATGCTTATCAATTTCGTGTCAAATATAAAGGTAAAGTCTAAATATTAAAAAATTGAAATATGAAAATTTGTCTCTTACCTTTGTAAATCCTCGTCTTTTCCCACATTTCTTGAGGTTTTAAATTTGTTTGTCGTCTTTCACGGGCGAGAATAATACGTACGACTTGCATATCTTTGTCCAAATAGTCAAAGGTAGAAAATTTATATCGAAAAATTTTAAAAACCGATTCAAAACCACAAAAACTATATTATCTGCAAAACTTTTTTGCAAAAACCAGGGGGGTGTGAAAACGGCCGTGGGCTCAGAATTGAGCCTGGTCAGTGGTACCTACCATGAAAATAAAGTAAGTGTTGTCATGGAAATGGCGTCATTTTCACTCAAAATCCGCCATGTAGTCTAGGACCTGTATATGAGTTTGTATGCATTTCATTTAGGACAGATAATCTCAACTGTTTTAGGGCAAGTTGACCATGACGGTCAACATGGTAACGCTGCCCAAACCCCAATCCGGGACGAAACGTCCGAAACTGACCACACCCAAAAACGACGCTTTCGCCATACTGCTATCTACCAAACCATAAAAGCTTTGGCTATTCTGAGGTGCTGACATGGTTCAGAGATGGTACTATTGGGGGTGGTCATTGGTAAGTGTGAAATGCCTAGCACTAATATTTCACAAGAAAATGGCCATGCAATAATTAACAATTATTGGATGAGGTTTTTGTGATATGCAGAATTATCAAGGTCGAGGTAAGCGTTATCAGCCGAGCCGAAGGCGAGGCTGATAACGCTTACCGAGACCTTGATAATTTTGCATATCGCAAAAACCGAATTCAATAATTGTTTTATTATACATTTGAAGAATAATAAACATTAGTATTTTAATACTATGTTTATTATTCTTCAAATGTATAATAAAACAATTCATTGAATTCGGTTTTTGCGATATGCAAAATTATCAAGGTCTCGGTAAGCGTTATATTCAATATGATTTCTGGCAAAGCTGTTCAAGTAAAACGTTTCTATAAACAAGTCTTCGGAAGTCCAACAGTTAAATTAATTACAAATATAAAAGAAACATATTATCGTTAAGATGTTAACGTATTAAAATATTTACTTGTTAAAGTAAACATTACAATTATGAAATGTACATTCATTCGAAAATTGAAATGTACACTCATTTGAAATGTACACTCATTCAATTTCACGCAACCTACACAAAATTCAGTTATCTGCTAGCAGATAACTGAGTTATCTGCTAGCAGATAACGGAATTTTGTGTAGGTTGCGTGATTGCGCGATTTAACTGTAAGCTCCTAGCCAATCAAATTGCTTTTACCAACTACAATGTATAATAATCATAGTTAAACGTCAATTTGTGGCTTGCAAATTCAGATAAACAGCAGTGGACTTACATTACCTTTTTCCCTAAATCTTTTTGATAGAAACATAAATGGTACTTATTTAAATATATTATCACTGGTTTGGTGTAAAATAGTTAATATTTTCTGACCGAAATAATAATTTGAAATGTGCCTATAAACCTCCTGCAAATGGACGTATTTGGCCAAGTTCTCCACTTTACTCCGCTGTTTATCGGCGATCTCGTCCACATCCTTCCAAAAATGTATATCATCTCACACATATTTAATGGTATCAATTAAGAACATTTTAAACAAGTTTCAACTTGGTTTCAAGTAGATCATAACTGTTTAACCATCGACAAGGCAAATCCACAATTTTGTCCAAATTCGGCGCCATTTTGTCATCCCGTGTAGGTTGTACATGTCAACAATTCGGCCTCGTTATTCTTCCATTCACGCCATATCCATTACACAAATAACAAATTTAACCCTTTGTCAGTCAAGGGTATTAAAATAAAAATACAAATGAAATATGCGAAATGCAGCATTTTCTCACCCTGTAAAATGTTGCTTACGAGTCCTTCAAAACATTTCGTACTAATCTCGCGTGGTTTAGTACAGATGACGTGACAGGGGGGTGGAGACTTGAAAAATGAAAGCAAAGCCCACACAGTATGGTAAAACCAACAATCAACATTTAATTTGTATGACTTGTTCATATTAATAAATAATAATATGTATATATTTGTCGCGACAAAGAAATAAAACAAACATTTGTATGATTGTATTTAGCTTTTAGTCTATTTCACGCAGCGTTCTTCTACCTTCGTGAAATAATTCACCCCCCCCCCTGTAAATTTATTATTAGTGGAATGGAAATGGCTTGGATGGAAGAGTAACAAGGCCGAATTGTTGACAACCGACACGGGATGACAAAATGGCGCCGAATTTGGACAAATTTGTGGATTTACCTTGTCGATGGTTAAACAGCTATGATCTACTTGAAACCAAGTTGAAACTTGTTTAAAATGTTCTTGATACCATTAAATATGTGTGAGATGATATACATTTTTGGAAGGATGTGGACGAGATCGCCGATAAACAGCGGAGTATAAAGTGGAGAACGTGGCCAAATACGTCCATTTGCAGGAGGTAGGCACATTTCAAATTACTATTTCGGTCAGAAAATATTAACTATTTTACACCAAACCAGTGATAATATATTTAAATAAGTACCAATTATGTTTCTATCAAAAAGATTTAGGGAAAAAGGTAATGTAAGTCCACTGCTGTTTATCTGAAGTTGCAAGTCACAAATTGACGTTTAACTATGATTATTGCATGGTCATTTTCTTGTGAAATATTAGTGCTAGGCATTTCACACTTACCAATGACCACCCCCAAAAGTACCATCAATGAACCAAATAAGTACCTCAGATTGCTCAGAATAGCCAAAGCTTTTATGGTTTGGCGAAAGCGTCGTTTTTGGTTGTGGTCAGTTTCGCGGGACGTTTCGTCCCGGGTTGGGGTTCGGGCAGTGTTACCATGTTGACCGTCATGGTCAACTTGCCCTAAAACAGTTGAGATTATCTGTCCTAAATGAAACGCATACAAACACATATACAGGTCCTAGACTATAGACTTACAGTGAATATAAACAAGGTCAATTGACAAGTTAAAGGTTTGAGTGTTTGACTATACACAGCGTATTTTTAATAAATAACTATAAATGTACATTATAAAAGAAATGAATTTTTAACAATGTTTTGTAAATCGCATAAAAATTTGTCCTGATTTACATAAACTTCAGCTTTGATTTTCTCGGCTTATAGACAATGCTTATTTTTAAAATTACTTCGCCAATGGCAATGAACTCATAAGATGGGTCGTTTAACACGGTAAAACATTCGCATCCGACTTTATCTGATATACAAACTCTGTCGCCTTCGGCTCGAGTTTGTATATCAGATAAAGATCGACTGCTCATGTTTTATCTGGGGTAGGTATTTTTCGAGTTAAGCCCCTGCCACGCCCTTCTTCGCCGGTGGCTTAACTCGAAGTCAATTAACGATTTAAGCATCCGAGTTAAGCCCCGACATTTGGTGGATGTAAACAAGTGACGCGTGCATGTATACTCCCAAAAATATTGGCAAATATATGTAAGGACTGTAAGGAGGGAGAATGTAAAATTTCAGCAATTTTAAGAAATATATTTTACTTAGTTAGATCTATGTTGCTTTGCCTACAGTTTTATACAGACAATGACATCGTGAAACGAGAGAGCTCAATAAGGATTTGTAAACAACAGCTCATTCAGGGCGGCAATTACGGCTTTAAAAACTAAATAATATATAGCGGCACTTGCAGAACGGCATGTTCATGTGGAGGCGAGCTACCTTTCACGATGTCATTGTCTGCATAAAACTGTAGGCAAAGCAACAGAGGTCTAAGTAAAATATATTTCTTAAAATTGCTGAAATTTTACATTCTCCCTCCTTACATATATTTGCCAATATTTTTGAGAGTATACACGCTTCACTTGTTTACATCCACCAAAGGTCGGGGCTTAACTCGAATGCTTAAATCGTTAATTGACTTCGAGTTAAGCCCCCGACGAAAAAGGGCGTGGCAGGGGCTTAACTCGAAAAGGGCTTAACTCGGAGGGCTTAACTCGAAGGGCTTAACTCGAAAAATACCTACCCCGTTTTATCTAGTACTTGTAGACTTATAGCTATAAATATCCGATGTGTTCGTTTGCATTTACAGTTGGACAAATAGGCCTGTTTTTTAGAAGACATCATCTATGCCTATATGACCATGAACTAAGAAATCAGCAGCGTATCGTGGTGCATTGTATATATAATATTGCCCATTATAATGTTGCTGACTTAATTGGTAATTTACCTGAGAACTTTAACTGATGTGTTAACCCTTCATCAATGCAGGATTAAATTGAAGTCTACAACGAGCCATGTTATGGCATTAAAAATCAAGGACTATATAATTTCTTCGCTAGTATTATTATGGCCTATTATGATCGCCATGAGTTGATGATCATAGTTGTATTTATTACACAGTAGGTTGAGCAGCCCGCAGCCGGAGTGTATAGTATTATGTATATTGGATGAACATTGCAATCATGTAAAACACAAAAGGGAATTGAATCATTTTGGCGTCGCTGTTCAAATATACAGAGAGGAGGGAAATCTAAAGTTGAAAATAGAGCTACCTTTAGCAGGTCACGTGATCCGTGGAGTGGTATTTCACTGTCATTCGTAAAATAATTGTCTTGTCCAAAGTCAACGGCAGCGATTCCTATTTCTTCCATCGTTACTCTGAAACAGGTGAACTGGAGACCTCGATGTTCCGTTTCGATTGCAGTGAATGTTTGCCTCGGATTAAATCTCATCCAAGTGGTCCAGTAGCCGTATTGCTAGAGAGAGAAACATCACCTTCGTATGGGGAGATTTTCTATGGAGTCCCTGAGAAAGCGTGCTTGAAATTGATCAAGTATAATTCGTAAAAGCCTAAACTTTCGGAACTGGATTTATTTAATGGCATAATATTTCACAATCTACCTTTGAACTGTATCACCTTGTATTATGTATCCTTGAATTATATAACCTTTAGGCCTACTAATTTTATAAGTATTATTACACAGTATTATTAGTACAGAAAAAAACAACTTTGAAAGATGCTAGTATCTAACGCTGGCAATATACAGATATTGCACAGCACACTCCACATAGGGTTTTTCAGTGACTGGTTACATTACTCATTAGAGCCGTAACTGGCGCGAACAGACCGAGATCTGCCCCTGACCTATGTGTACCTAATTACATCACAATTAAGCATAATACTGCGGTTTCAGGTAGACCGTTTAATGCGAATAGTTGTCGCGTTAGTTTTAACAGTTGTACGATGACGTTTCTAGGCAGATTTTCGACGTTTCTAAGGCGTGGCTTCAACGTTTATTTTTAAAATTTGAACGTTGTAATTACAAGGTAATTGCTAAATAGTATACTTCAAAATAAGGTTTCCGTTTTTATATCAATTTTTTAAATAAGTTAGGGTTAGGTTAGGGTTTAGTTTTGCGCCGGAAACCTTATTTTGAAGTATACTATTTAGCAATTACCTTGTAATTACAACGTTCAAATTTTAAAAATAAACGTTGAAGCCACGCCTTAGAAACGTCGAAAATCTGCCTAGAAACGTCATCGTACAACTGTTAAAACTAAGGCGACAACTATTCGCATTAAACGGTCTACCTGAATCCGCAGTATTCTCAAAGTGCGTGAAATGAAAGCGTTATATAAATGCCAAAATGAAGAGATTTTAGATGGTACGCCAAAAAGAAAATGATGTCTGAAGTTCGGCGAATTTGGCTTATATTGCTGTAAATATGGCGTCACTTTTAAAGCGTCATTGATAATTGTATTTTAATTGACAATTTTTTGCTATTATTTGATGTTTCTCAACCGGCAAATGCATTCAAAAAGGTAGCTGACTGCATATGTAAACAAAAGAATAAAGCTAAAACAAAGCAATTCGGAGATGTACGCCAAAAAGATTTTCGGTTTTGAACACTTTTCATTGCAAATACCAGTGACATTGAAAAAAATTGCCTCTTAATATTTTGATAATATTTGCCATGATAATATGGGCGGCATGCAGGACTGCTTTCGCATAAACACATGTATATTCACATACATAGATAGTTTAATTATAAAGGCCCTGTCACACTATAGCGTATGAGAGAAACGTATGAGAAGCGTATGAAAATTAATCAAATCATTTTCATACGCACAAAAATCCTTTGAAATGCCAGCGTATGCATGAGTACCGTACATCTGGCGTACCTATAACGTATTCAGCGTGTGCCTAGAGTAGGCTTATCGTATAAAGCATGTACGTCCGATACGCACACAATTTTTGAACATGCTTAAAAATAATTTTCTGCCTCGCCGTATGCCAAAGTATGCCACCGTACGCGACCGTGCTTGAAACGTATACAACGTATGCCTAACGTATCCCTAGCGTATGTCAGCGTATACCGGCGTATGAGTGATATTTTTCATACGCTGGCATACGCTAGTACGATGCACAATAGTGTGACAGGGCCTTTAGATAAGAGTATATTTATCCTTTGGCAACCAGCTTAATTTTTTTTATTCAAACAATATTTGCCAATACAGCAATGCCAATATCCATCACATTTGCTAGACATAATTATTGCAACTCATGGAAATGGGATTAATTGTCAGTTGGAAATTTACCCATAACTTAGTCATTGCGTGGTATGATAGTGACACTCTGCAATTGGGAGAATGTAGTGCGCTATCAAATATAACTTTACATGTGCTTGTCACTTTACCTGTACAATCGTACTCATGTAGGCGGAAACGCCAGGAGTTTTATTTGTAGGCGGGCACCGCATTTTAGTACTGTGCCTGGTTTCCCACCTGTTCCGAAAATATGCAAATGTGCTTACGTGGCAGTGTGATATTACTCATTGCAGTAAAGCCAACACTCCTTAACATTAATCAACCAAGACGATAGCTTATATCAAGCGCCTACCTTATTTAAGCACTAATATTAAAGTCTAAATACCATGTCTTCGATTGTCACAAGTATATTAAGTTCCACTGTGAGATTATTGTGGAAGCAAGCCCAAGATGCGACTGCTAAAAAGCTGAACAACGGTGATATTACAGATGAAAGAATTCGTGAAATACTCGTGCGAGAACTCGACGATATCAAAACCAAAATTGACGGTCTCGCACGCAAAGATCTGCTCGTCAGCTACAGTTTTCTACAGGACGGAGTACAGTTACTGATTGTTTCTCTGGATAAGTCGAAGGACGAGCAGAAAGCTGTGCAAAGCAAAACTCAAGATGATCGCGGTCAAACGTCTATAATGCCGAGCGGTGACGAGTCAGCAGATATCTTCAACAAAGCCTTAGAACTTTCTCACGTGATGGGAAAGCTAAAAATTCTGTCAAGCGAGTCTGAACCCGCTAAAAAGAGATTCGAGGAAGCGCGTAAGGAAGCAACCCATGCGTTTTGTAACGAAGCATTGAATATCCAAGACCGGATCTTCGCAGCGAACCTCCGTGTCGTTTCGGAGAGACTGGAATGTCTCGACAATCCCGACACAGCGGTTACTTCGTGCCTGTTGTTTTTAGAAAAGCTTCATGATTTACCCGCCGTTCGCGAGATATTCTCGGTGTATCTCGGTGGTGGAGTTAAATCCATCTTCAGTAAGGCTGAACGAGTTGAGAATGTTAAATCTGTCATGATGATCAACTACGTTTTGTATCAATTTGTTTCGAAACTCAGCAGCAAGTATTGTTCTGCTCTCACCTGGCCAACAATTCAACTCTCTGATCGCAGTTTTTACCCAATATGGAATTGGCAGGAGGTATCGACAAGAAAGTCTTGGGGCGAAGAATTGATCCAACCACCCAATAAAATGAACTTCGATATAAATATCAATCCGTATAATACTGCTGTAAATAGTCGGGGTGAGATAGTTGTATGGGATGATAATCACATTGAGCTAATCTCCAGAACAGGTGAAAGTAAAGTGGTTTATCAATTTCCCGTTCCGAGCCGAGAGAATAAAGAAGGCGAGGTTATCAAACAAAGAATTCTAGGCCTCGCTCTTGATCAAGAAAATAATGTGTATGTTGTACTTTTTTGTGAAACAACTTCACAAAATGGCAATGTGGATAGCCATGCAGTATTATATATA